AAAAAAAAAAAAAAAAAAAAAAAAAAAAAAAAACTTTAGAGTATGTATGTATAGTGAAGAAACCAGATTTATTTGAGTTTTGAATGATAAGTTACAAAAATATAAAGAAAATAGAAAAGAATCGTAAACTAATCGAATTCGAAAAGAAAAAAAAAAACTCATATGGAAGCGATGAGGAGTGTACATGCATTAGGTGAGAGGCGAAGCAAGGCGTTAGGCTCAGAAGAGGACACGTGTTTAGCAAGAGAAGGAGATTGCGTCGATGCCTGACGAGGGCACGCCTTGCGATGTTAAAAGACAACCCGATCCAACCCACTAGCCAAAGATCGCATCCACTACACTCGTGCGCTACAACCCGAACCAAAAACCCGAGTCCGCCACCGACGCCTCAACTCGACCAGGCTCATTGCGTGCCTATTAGCAAATGTTACATGTTCTATTTTCTAATTGAAAATCCATTTTTTTTGTTAGGAGTGTTAGCTGAACACGACTCTCCACAATGGTATGATATTGTCCACTTTGATCACAAGGTCTCATGACTTTGCTTTGGGTTTCCCAAGAGGCCTCTTGACAATGGAGTTAGTATTCCTCACTTATAAACTCATGATCATTTCCTAAATTAGCCGATGTGGGACTTTCATCATCCAACACCTCCCCTCGAACAAAGCACGTCTCCCCTTAATCGAGGCTTGACTCCTTTGGAGTCTTAGCCATTTTTGACTGCCTTCGTACCTTCAAGGAGGCTTGACTCATTTTTTCTTTTTGGAGTCCTTTGTTCGACGTTCGAGGATTTGCCAATATATTGGCATGGCTAAGTTTAGGGCATGGCTCTGATACCATGTTAGATGAACACGACTCTCCACAATGGTATGATATTGTCCACTTTGAGCATAAGCTCTCATGACTTTGTTTTGGGCTTCCCAAAAGGCCTCATGCCAATGGAGTTAGTATTCCACACTTATAAACCCATGATCATTCCTTAAATTAGCCTATGTGAGACTTTCATCATCCAACAAGGAGAATTGAGAAGGCAACGACGTGCCATTTGTCAATCAACGAGAGGTCTTTCGTGCGCTGATAGCTGCCAGACACGCGTCGAACGCCGCCTGGAGTGACGCAGTTCCATTCTTCCAGTGACGCATTCTCGGCAGCGTCAACCCGACCCGTGTTCCTCAGTCGACATAGTACCCGCACGACGAAACGAATCGCAGCAACCCGCAGTCCACCCGAACCGAATTGACGACCCACAACTGTAGAAAAATGCACGTGCGTGGAACCTGCGAGTGAACTTGTCCCGGCGTGTGGCTAGCGCGTGGAGAGCACGTGTAAACTCATTTTCGTCCCGTTCAACTCTTGTTTTTCCTATTTTCCTTTCGATTCCAATTCTAACCCCTACTTTTATATGAAATAGGATTTAATTGAAAAAAAATCAGTATTTTTGAACACGCTATTTAGGTTAAAACGCTACCGTAAAGGCACGCATCATCTAATTGGGGTTGCAGCTCACTTCCTACGTAAGACACTAGGTAGTCTCATAGCCATGCCGAGGTAGCTACTCGCAGGGCACCAATCAAACACAGGTTGGCATAAGAGAACTCTTAGTGTTTAAATGAAAGGACGAAGAACCAAAGAAGTCCTAAGGAGCTAAGACCAGAACTAAATGATCTAGAGCCAAAGAAAAGACCGTGGAAGTTTGTTAACATTAAAATGCAATAAGAGCTTACAAGTAGGTGGCTTACTAAGTATAATTTTTATACTCATTCTTGTTATTATTTTTTTTAGGTACGTGAGGCGTTGGGTCAAGAGAGGGCGCGTTGAGGGATGTGGATTGTCACAAAGGGAGCGTGTCCCTGGGCGTTAGTTCTGTCTTACCTTTTAGTACACTTTGTCCTTCATGTTTTCTTTCTTTGTCTAAAACTAGTCACCAATGGTCTCTTTGTATTGAAACGCACTTCTTACGAAACAAATTATTTATTTTTTAAATGATGTTTCCCTTTGAATTTCTTGCATACACACTACACATCATAGTCATTGTAAGTCACGACTTGAGGTTAAATATTGGGTCGTGACAAATTTGGTACCAGAGCACCAGGACATAGGTCTTGTAAACACTTAGGATAGAGAGTCAAATCCTCTGTGACACGCCCATCAATCACGTGTCGCTCATGACCAAACAATCTCACGAATTTGAATTGCGAAGTCAAGAGCTAAGTTGTTGTTGTGTAGGGAATTTATCATGACTGTTTGTTGTGTTATAGTTACACATTTACTAGAGGATGTGCTTTGAATGAATTGTAACTGCAGTTTTTCTATTGTGGTAACTAATGGCACCAAAGAGACGTGGACCCTATCTCGAGCCTAGACCCAAAAGGGGAAGAAGAAGAGTCGCTCAGGACACTGATGTTCCATCACCTGAGGGGGAACAACCTGAACCTGAACCTCAAGAGGAGGTTGGTGAAATGTCCCAATGGTATGAGAGTCCTATACCACGGGCACCAAGATCAAGAATGAGTCGAAGGAGAGCGACGACCCAATACTTACCTGTCGCAGAATCTACCACCCCTTTTCCCGAGGCAGTTACACCGGTGCCCACCAATAATATAGAGGTTTCACCTAGCCAGCCAAAAACTTATCTCACTACGGATGTGCTATAGGCATTTATGTTAACCTCTATGGAAAATCAGGCTCAGATGACTCAAATGATGTAGACACTGGTGGCTAACTAGGCGACAATCCAACAGGCAATACAACAAACAACAATGCAATAGACAACATTGCAAGGGATCAGAGACTCAGGGACTGACTATGGAGTCTCGTTATTTGAAAGACTTCCAGAGGCATAACCCACTTTCCTTTGACGGTGGTAAAATAGATCCTGTTGCAGCAGAAACCTGGCTCGAGGCTATGGAAACAACTTTCTTTTTCATGAAATGTCTGCTCAGGTCCATTGCGGAACTTGGTGTTAGTTCAAAGGAGCCTAAATCCACAAATAATATCCGGTCACTACCAGAATGAAATTACAGGCAACGTTCCTTAAACTCAAGCAGAGTGACAAATCCGTAGAGGATTATGATTTGGAATTCAATAGATTGGCAAGATTCTCCCCAATATTTGTCAACACTGAAGAGCTGAAGGCTGAACGTTTTATCGCTGATCTAAGGGAGGACATTAAAGGTTATGTGACATCTCAGGCATCCACAGATTATACATAAGCCCTCAAATTGGCGACCCTCATTGATATGCCTCATATTGACAAATTACAATCAGGATTAGCCCAAACACCCCACAACATAGTTCAAGGGAAAAAGATAAACTAAAACCTTGCCAGAACTGGCAGGCCACCCCGTGGAGGCATTATTAATCAAGGAAGAGCCTTAGTACAAAACAAGAATTCATGTCCTAAGTTTCAGCACTCTCACCTAGGGGAATGTCGACAAAGAACTGATGTATGCTATAGTTGTGGCCAAACATGACACTTTGTAGCAAACTGTCCTCAAAGGAGAGATCATACCACTAACCGACCTGCAATAATGAATCAGAGGGGTCAGGGTACCCAACAACAGTAGGGGCAAGTTGTAGCACATGCAACTACAGTTAGGCAAGCCGACGCGTCTGACGCAGTTGTTATAGGTATATTACCCATCTTTGGTTATTTGGCTTTTGTATTATTTGATTCGGGATCTACACACTCGTTTGTATCTGATGAATTCGTTGAGTTAGCACACCTAGAAAAAGTACCCTTAGAGACCATCCTATCAGTGTCCACCCCTACTCACGAGCTATTGATGGCTACTCATAGAGTTAAGGGAGGTAGTGTGATAGTGTTGGGACGTGTCATAGAACCTGCTTTAATAGGTCTTCCATCCTCTGGTTCCTGGCCACCAGATCATCATCGTGATTGGCATCTAGCATCGAATTAGCAATACGTGGTGTTGCAAACTTCACTGGTTTAGGGGGTGCAGCCGGAGTTGTGATTGGGGTTGGCATAAGCGTGCCCGGTGCAGCTACTAGTGGCAATGACGGTTCTTGATGCTGCGCTCCTCCTTCTCCTGACTCGGTGACAAGGTACTCCACCGTGAATTGATTTGAGTTTCGGTCTGCCTCTGTCACATTGTTCGACACGTGAGCTTCCCTCCCCAAAGGATCATAGAGCCTATACGCCTTGCTCCCGGTTTCGTAGCCTATGAAGATAACCTTCAGCCCCCTCAGGTCGATCTTGGCAAGGTGGGGATGCACGACCTTCATGTATGCGACGCAACCGAACACTCAGGGATAATGTACTGTTGGCTTCTTGTTGTACCAGGCCTTGTATGGCGTCTTTCCGTCGAGGCTTTGCGTGGCGATCGATTGAGGAGATAGACGGTCGTCATTACCGCCTCTCTCCAGAACCTTCCAGACATCCCGTCGTCATCGGCAATGATCTTACTGTCCCGACGATGTTCTAATTTTGGCATTCCACCACCCCGTTCTGCTGGGAAG